ATATATTATGGTGTAATTGACTATATTCCCTGTGTTGTACGCTACATTCCTGTGGCTTATTTTATAACTGGAAGTTTATGTCTCATCCCCCTTCACCATTTTCACCCATTCTTCCTGCCCCCCTCCCCTCTGGTAACTGTCAGTTCTCTGTATCTATGAATCTGGTTTTGTTGTTAGATTCCATATATAAGTGAAATCATCCCGTGTTTATCTTTCTCTAGCTGACTTACTTCATTTACCATAATACCGTCTAGGTCCATCCATATTGTCAAAAATGGTAAGATTTCATTCTTTTGTATTTCTAAGTAATATTTCATTGTGTGTATATACTTCATCTTCTTTATTCATTCATTTATTGATGAATACCTAGGTTGCTTCCATATCTTGGCTATCTTATATAATAAAATCCTAATATGCAAATCTACCAAATGGTGGAACGACTGGCCACTATGATGTGCACTGACCATCAAGGGGCAGACACTCAACGCAGGAGCTACCCCCTGGTGGTCAGTGTGCTCCCACAGGGGGAGCACCACTCAGCCAGAAGCCGGGCTCACGGCTGGCGAGCGCAGTGGTGGTGGTGGGAGCCTCTCACGCCTCCGCTGCAGGTGGGCAGTAAGGAACGAGGAGTCCCCGACTGCAAGAGCCCCGGACATCCCTCAAGGGGGTCCCGGACTGCAAAAAGGCACAGGCTGGGCTGAGGGACATCCCTCCACCCCCCAGTGCACAAATGTCGTGCACTGGGCCTCTAGTTGTAAATAATACTGCCGTGAACATAGGGGCACATACGTCTTTTCAAATTAGTTTTTTACTTTTCTTCATATAAATACCCAGAAGTGGAATCTCTGGGTCTTACGGTAGTTCAGTTTTTAATATTTTGAGGGATCTCCATACTGTTTTCTATACAACAGTGCAGGAGGATTCCTTTTTCTCCACATCCTCACCAACACTTGTTATTTGTTGACTTTTTAATAATAGCCATTCTGACAGGTGTGAGGTGATATCTCATTGTAGTTTTGATTTGCATTTCTCTGATGATTAGTGATGTTGAGCATCTGTTCATATGTCTGTTGGCCATTTCTAAATTGGGTTGTTTGGGATTTTTTGATGTTGATAAACAAGTCGTAAAGGAATTGTTTTTAAAAAAATAGGGATTTTTAAAGAGGTGGGTCACATGCTTCTTTTCAGTTTAATCACTGGCATTTTGGGTTTTTTTGTTTTGTTTGTTTCAAAACAAAACAGAGGCAAGGCCACAGTGGTAAGAAGTATGAGCTCTGGAGCCAATGTGTAGGTTGAAGCCTTGGTTCTGGGTCTTACTTGCTATGTGATCTTAGTCACATTCCTAACGTCTCTCTCCCTCCATGAATGTGCCAGTTCATGAGTTAATGCATTTCAACTACTTAGATCAGTAGCTACCACATTGGAAACAGTCCATGGAAGTGATAGTGTCATCATCATCATAGTCAAGAATCCCTCCAAAGAATATATGACATTTACATTAGTTCAGTTGGAGAATTGTCAACCTCATTAAAAACTAGCCTAATACATGAGTGGGTGGGAAGATTACAACCGAAATTAATATTTAATATAGCAAAAGTTGTATTGAAAAGAAATTGTCTTTTGGTCTTTATTAGAGAACTGGACTTATAACCCTTCAAACGATGGTGTTTCAGACCATAGTCTCTTAAGTTATTCTTCATGAGCATGATTTTTCTTTTCACTGGGTTAAATCAGCCAGCTTGTTTTCACTGTGAATTTGTATTCAGACCCTTACTGGAAATGTATGGTGCAGATAGTACAGCTCAAAGTACTTGCAATTTTGTTTGGAATGGCTTCATGAACAAAGTTGAGTGGGGTGGGGTGATAAAACAAAAATAAGGAAGCCTGTAAGAAGTTTAATAGATTGTTAAAGTAACAAAAACTATCTAATTTCTTATTTTGTTTTTCTTTCTTGTATGTACATAACCATTGTTTTCTGCTACTTAAAAAAGTTTTATCAAAAATGATTATTCTTCAATACTATTGTTTAATTTTCATGGGGTTTTTACTCAGTGGCTCTTGATTGTTTTCTCCTAACTATAACTAGCCCAACCATAGTTTGTGTACCTAAACATTTTATGAAAATTTCAGAGTCCAAATATTAGCTCTTCATTTGGAATTTCTGCCATTGAACGGCTGTGAAAAATAAGTACTTTGTCACCCTTGACAGAGGTAACAATGTCCTTTCGTGCTGTGACAGATGGGTGTTTATTGATAGCAAATTACTCTGTCCCAAGGATTCTCTTTTATTTCCATTAAGAAAATAAATTTTTTTCCTATTTTACTTTGTGAACATTAACATTATAATGTTGTAATATGAGGAGTTCATTCAAGTAGAACAGTCATCTCTTTTGAGTAGAGCAGTATTTTCTGAACAGAGCATTTTGGAAGGAGTCTTCCAAGAAAACAACTCTGCAGGTGTGCAGCATTGCACAAGTGGTCCAAAGTAGCCCCGACTGCCAGGAACAAATAAGTCATGGAGCTCTCATTTATTGCTTAAAGAATTTATGTCTGATGCGTAGGGCAAATAATTCTGATCCAATCGGTGATAGCCATTGTCCTGCAAAAGAAAAGAGTAAGCTTGTTCAGATAAAACGATAGAATTTTTCGCTAAGAAGATTTAGGTTTTCAAATTAGAATTTCGGAAAACATATATCCACCACTGTGAGCTTGCTGGCTCTTAAAAAGACTGAGAATAGTCATACAAGGAAGGAAAAATATTTTTTTTCTACCCTTTTAAGTTCTCTCAGCTGGAACCTCTGTAACAAAGACAGATTAGCCAGAGAAATGCATTTAATAGAAGTTTTACATGACACAGGAGCCTTCAGAAGGAAATAAAGACCTGAAGAAACAGTTGCACCTGACTTTTTATGCCAGATTTGCTGAAGAGTGTCAAGTCGTGGGAAGATGTGACAGGAAAAGGTGAGGTCTGTATAGTAAATAGGGGCAAACTTAGCAAGGCCCGATCATTCAGATTCCTCTCTGTCCCTTCATTTTCGGAGATACTCCTTTCCTGCTGGTGTAGGGAGGCACCTCTCACAGAAGGGTTTTATGAGCGGCTTCAGGGGAAGGTCAGAAAGTCCTTCATGAAGGTGAGAGGAATCACACAGACAGATCAAATATATGTTCTCGTGATGGCTGTTGAACACTGGGTTCACCTGTTTACAGGGAAGCAACAAGTCACAAGAGTTAACAAAAGAGAAAAAGAAAAGGTCATCTTTCATTCCTCACATTCCTTGAGCTTGAAATATTCAGTATGCTAAGTTGCTGTATTTTGTGATAGTATGCTTTATACCTGGTCAGCAGTAATAACTGGTGGTTTTTTTTTATCCTGGATGACAAGATGAATCAACATTTTGAAGATCTGCATCACTCAAGGAACTAATATCCTGCTCCCCCCTCCCCCCCCCCCAAAAAAAATGTGTAATGTCACAAATATCCATTCAAAGTACAAGATAAATTACTGGATTCTAATGAAACAATAAAAGTTTATTGATAAAGTTTTAGGTTTCACATTGCCACTGGCCTTTAAGAAACTACCTGTCAAGCTTGGACTTAGTATTCAAGAAGATTATATGAGGCTATATTTTCCTTATGAATCTCAACCAAAACATAAACAGACTGAATGCAGAAGCATATAAGAATACAGCTGTGTCCTTTCTACTAAACCAGGTAATAGAGATTTGTAAAAATGCTAAATAACACTGCTCTTACTAAATATTATTTTTGAAAAAAAAATTTCATTAAAAGTTACTTCTCAATGAGATTTCTCTGTCCAATTTAAAGTTGTAAAACCCACACTCCCCCTCCCCCTCCATCCCCCTCCCTCCTCCTTTCTCCTAGCACTTATTGCTATTTAGTGTACTATCTGTATTTTACCAGTTTGTCTTTTTTATTCCTTTTTCCTTCCACTAGAATGTGAGCTCCAGGAGGATAGGGATTTTTGTTCATTTTATTAATTGCTGTATTGTGCACTGGCATATAGTAGGAGTTTAGTCAATATCTGTTGAAGGATATTGGCCAATAATCTAGACTGGTGGTTCGCTATAATTAACCAATAATACTATGGCAGTTTCTCCTCTTTAATTACTTATTTCGTTATCTATAAATTACTTTATTTTGCCTTTCTGAATTAAGACACCTCTAATATATTAGTACATGTTTAAATGTTTATTTTTTTCTAACCACTGATGTTTTAAAATTCACAGCCTGAGACCATCAAATGGTTTTGACCCCATATAAAAACCCTAGGTTTACATATGGGTGGATCATTTAGTCAACATATACACATTTAAATAGTTTTTAATTTACTTGCACTTGATCCTTTTCACAAAGTAAATAATTTGGTATATTTTTGAATTGGCAAAGGGTAATGATAGGTGTGAAAATTGCTTGCACAGATACACTTTTAAAAATCAAATTGTTTATAAAACTTAATATTTTCTTTCTTTATGAATTAAACAGTAAGGAAACAAGGACAAAATTAGGAGTGACTCCAAAAATCTTCAACATATAACTTCATAAACTAATGTCAATAATTAGGAATATTTTAGCTAATGAGAAATCTTGATCAAATAATTTTTTAAAACCTTACTTATACATATGGATAATAGTTCTATAACATTAGTAACAGCAAGGATTTTTTTAAGTGGTATTTTTATCCTCATCTCCATCCTTAACGTTTTTGAAAGAACAAAATCTTTGTGTGGTTTGAGTACCCTTGGAGTGATTTCTGAAAGCAGACAGCACATTTTTCCCTCTTTGAAACTGGAGCTGAAATCACAGGAACATGAATGGAGCCCCAGGTCTCTGTTTCATTAGTGTGTGTGTCTCCAATGACCCTCCTGCTGGGAACCCTAATAGGATTTCTTCCCCTTACACCTTCCTCTGCCCCTATCCTCATGCTGTTCTATGGTATTTGGTTTAATGAGACAACTCCTGTGATCCAGAAAAGAAAAAAAGCCTGTCTTTTCCTTAAATAGACAAAAGGATAGCTGAGGGAATTAAAAATTGTGTTCTGTTTCCTGCCATTTGATTGTGACCAGCATTTGATGACAATCCTGAATATGCTGAGCCAGAAAGATCACAGTAGCCACTTAGTCTCAAAATCTCAGGCATGGTTGGGCAGATTGCCTCTCACAGAAATCCATTTAGCATTAATAATGTAGAGACAGAAAACATTAGCTGGGAGGGGAAATGGGTTGGTGCAGAAAAGCAGAGAAGAAAGTAGAAACCCTAAAATTTTTTCTATGAAGTGAGAACTTGAAACAACCTAGTGTTGATGGAATAATTGATAAAAGTGCATGTAAAATGTTTACAATAACCAATCTATATATATACACAAGCGGTAATATGCAAATTGACCATCACGCCCTTGCACAAAATGGCTGCCCCATGTGGTCCATGATGGCTACCACAAAATGGTTGGCAGGGTAGGGCAGTTGGGGGCAACCGGGCCTGCAGGGTAGGGCAGTTGGGGGCAACCGGGCCTGCAGGGGAGGGCAGTTGGGGGTGACCAGGCCGGCAGGGGTGGGGGGGCATTGCGGGGCAACCAGGCCAGCAGAGGGGGGCAGTGAGGGGCAACCAGGCTGGTGGGGGGGTGAGCAGGCCAGCGGGGTGGGGGGGCACAGTTAGGGGCAATCAGGCAGGCAGGCAGGTGAGCAGTTAGGAGCCAGTGGTCCCAGATTGTGAGAGGGATGTCCAACTTCCGGTTTAGGCCTGACATCCCCCAAGTGGTCCCAGATTGGAGAGGGTGCAGGCTGGGCTGAGGGCTCCCCCACCCCTGTGCACGAATTTTGTGCACCAGGCCTCTAGTTATGGAAATAAGAGTAATAGATACTGGGAAGTTTAGGGTGGTAAAAGTAAGCAAAATTCAATCAGAGAAAGGTAGCAGTGTCTAAAATGGATGCACCAAAAAGTAGATATATAAACATTATTTAGGGATGTAAAAGTGACCATGAGAAAATTTTTAAAAATTGTTTAACAAATTAAAAAGGGTTCGTTCTGGGTAGGAGTTAGGTTACAGAGGACTGGATAGAGGGACTCTTATTTATGATCCCTTGTATTCATTGGTTTGATCATATACATATATATATATATATATATATATATATATATATATATATATATATATATAAAACATTTTAAATTGAACTAAAACTAGTGCCCATCTGACCCCTTGGATAGTTTCCTTGGGGCTGGATAGAGGTGGAGCATGGTCTGAGATGTGGAGTTAGGGCTGGATAGAGGTGGGGCATGGTCTGGGATGTGGAGTTAGGGCTGGATAGAGGTGGGGCATGGTCTGGGATGTGGAATTGGGCTGGATAGAGGTGGGGCATGGTCTGGAATGTCTGGCTCAGGGGTCTGTTGCAGTATGTCAGCTTTTGCCATTGGCCTTGTTCAGGTATGGATGATGAGCAAGAGGGTTAGCACAGCCTGCAGTGGTCCAGGTGTCTTGGGGATGCAAGACAGCTTGTGATAGTAAAGAGCATTACAAAGTGTGATGTCATAATAGTTCTTTCCACATCCTTTGCATGGCCTAGAAAAATGGTCCTCTCATTGTCGAGTTACTTACAGAGCAGTGATTTTCAACCAGTGTGCCACCAGAATTTTAAAACATGCAATACCTGAGTATTTAGGGCACTGACCTCTTTTCCCTTAAACTGTAAAATAAAAATATGACAATAGCCAACACAATAGTCATCCCGGGTGAATGAATCAAAAGTGTACCTTTTTTTTTTTTTTGGTCAAATTTGCAAAATATTTTTGGTGTGTGCTACAGAATTTCAATAATTAGTTTATGTGTGCCATGAGATGAAAGGGGTTGAAAATTGCTGCTGTAGAGAATATAGACACCAAATAACTCTGGTGGGGGCGGGGGGCCTTTCTCTGCCTCAGCTATGTAATAAGTCACTCTTTGGAAAGAGAAATCTTGATTTTGTGTTTGCTGCTTATGCTGCAGCTGGAAGAAAATACAACTCTTCAGAGTTTGTTAGTCCAGAAGTCTACATATTTTTTTCTGCTGGTGGTTTTAACCACTTGTTCCCAAATGCAGGTCTGCATTTCTAGGGGAGCTTTATTTAAAGTGCAGGTCCCTGGGCACCTTCCAAGGAGAATCTCATGCTATAGGTCTTGAGTGGCATTCAGGAGTCTAGTAATTCTGATATGCAAACAGATATGGGAACCCCTGCTATAATCCAGTCTAGTTTAGGTAACCCTCAAAGCAATCTTAAGAAATAGAAGATCAAAATTTAAAAACATTGAGTCGTTTTTCCAAAAATTGCACTTACAGTGTCATCAATATTTTAAGCATATGTATTTGCAGTGGGGTGCTGTTAAATGTTTAACACCTAGTTCTCCAAAAACAGAACTCCTCCCCTCTATGGAGCTTTGACTCAGAGCCTTTGCCAATTTTGGTGGTATAAATACTCACCATGGCTGATTTCAAGCTACAACAATGATGTCACTGAACATAGAATTAGGAAGAGATGCTCAAGAGCATACAGATATTTCCACCATGTAGACACTGACATAGACATAAATAACCTTAAAAGCATAGAGTATATTAAAGTGTAGTAAAGTAATTAAGAAGTGATAAGCTTTGAGTATTCATTACCTTGGTTATATGATTTATTGTAAGTTTATATAATTTAATCCTATATAATAAAAGCCTAATATGCAAATTGACCAAACGGCAGAACGACCAGTCGCTATGACGCGCACTGACCACCAGGGGGCAGACGCTTAACGCAGGAGCTGCCAAGGCAGGTGCCAGCGGGGGACCCCCCCCTCCCAATCACCCTGCTGGTTGCCCCACAGATCGGCCCTAATCACCGGCCACGCCTACGGACCCTACTTGTGCACAAATTTCATGCATTGGGCCTCTTGTTTTTAAGAATGACTGAGTTTAACAACTGGTTTTCATAATCCCTGAAAATTTAACAATTGGCTCAATGAGCTGATGCAAGCCCTGATTCAAAAGCTCTCTATACTAGTATTTAATAGTATGTGGTCTGTGGAATATACGTTGTTTAAAATTTTTTTCTGAAACAAAATTGTAAAGGTTCAGATATGTTTGGGAAATGCTGCATGGTTAATTTCTTCTGTAAAACCCACCATGTAGATTGGCATATTATAGGTCCTGAGAAGGGCTGAGGTAGAGACCTTATTAACCTCAAACCTAACTTTCCTTTCTCATGTAATAGCAGTCAGCATCCTGCAGGAGCAAAGTAGAAGCACTGACTCTAGTCATATCTGAGTTTGAATTCTGGCTCCACCATTTACTAGTTGTGGGTCTTTGGGCAATTATAAACTTCCTGTCTCAACTTCCTCATCTATAAGATAGGAATAATAAATAATAATAATAATAATAATAATAATAATAATAATGCCTATTTCATATGGTTGTTGCAAGACTCAAATGAGTTAACATATAGGTGAAGTGTTTAGAGCAATGCCAGGCACCTGGAATTCCTATATGCCTGTAAGCTGTTATTATCATTGTTGTTATCCTCATAACCACTTGCCCTGCAGCCCAATCATGCCAGTGTCCTTGACTCTCAGGTTCCCTGTCAAGTGATATGGAAGAAGGCAAAGGAATGGGAAAGAAGGGTCTCTTGACATTCTTTCCTGAGTTCAAAGCATTTCTAGCCACACTAGGAGGATTTAGGTTTTGCCATCCTGACCAGAACCTGCCAACTGGGACTGTGATTTTAGATGTGCATACATTTAAATATGAATACCCTTAACTAGAAATCATTTAGATGCCCATGCCCGTAGTTAGATATTTTCTCTTGTCATCAAAAAAATAGCAGTGGTTTTGCAATAGGCTTTTTCCTTCTGAGTCAGCATCCTCAGGAGCAGGAATTGTCACCATTCACAAAGACTGGCTCCAGGTTCTGACCTTCTAACTGTCATATCCATAGCTTTTCCCAGTCGAGTGAAGGGCACGAATCCCTTCAATGCTTTGCCTTCTTTCCAACTTAGCTAATTGCCTTCTGCCTTAGGAAAAGGGATGGTGGTGAGTTAACAGCACACAGAATTCCACAAAGGTTGGGTTAAGAGAAGCTATCTGTGACTTCATCCTAGTTTTGTGAAAATCTGATTTTATTTTTAAAAGAGTAAAGGGCATGAAGAGATCATTCAAAAATAAAAAAAGGCCAACAGACATAAAAATATTTCCAACCTCACTAATAATAATAAAACTATAGTTAAGTAATGTTTCTTCTATCAGAGCAAAGATTTTATTTTTAATTAACAAAATTTAGTAGTGGTAAAAGTATGAGGAAACCAGCACTCTCTTACACTATTATTTTTGCTAATGATTATATGATCCTTTTTAGCATACTATTAGACAATATATATCAATATTTGAAATGCATTGCCCTTTGACACAGCAATTTGACTTTAGAAATTTATCACAAGAATATAAATTTGGGCAAGTAAACAACAGTGTATGTTTAAAGAGGTTCAAAATGTCTCATAATTTTAAAGAATGGAAACAAACTATCTGTGTGATAGATTGAATTGTTGGTCTCTTCACCCCAATCTGAATTCACATGTCTTGATCATAAGCAAAGTCTGTTTCTGCATTGCCTGACTTTGTACTTGGCCATGTGGTAAGCTCTGGGCAGTGGTCTGTGGGCAGAAGTAATATTAAGCCTAATCTTTAAGAGGCCTCAAGTGTTTCTGCTTTCCCTCTTGTGTTTCTGTAAACTCCACAGCATGTCCCAGTTGGTTCCTTAGCCCTAGAAAGTGGATGAGACACACACTGAGGAGAGCCACCCTTGCCAACTTATAGACAGAGCAGGTAAGAAGTAAAGCAGTACTGCTCAGCTGAGGCCAGCTCATGTCAGCCAATCTCTGGCCAATCTGCAGACATGTGATGTATATACCCATCTGTAGCTCTAGAACAGTGGTTCTCAACCTTGGCTGCACATTAGAATCACCTGGGAATCTTTTTAAAATCCTGATTTCTGGGCCCCAACCTCCGGAAATTCTGTTTCTTTGTTATGGGGTGGGGTCACAACATTAGTAACAAAGAAACAGAATTTCTGGAGGATGAGGCCCAGAAATCAGGATTTTAAAAAGATTCCTGGGTGATTCTAATGTGCAGCCAAGGTTGAGAGCCACTGCTCTAGAAGGAATTTATATAGGATCTGTATCATTTACATAGAATATATATTATATATAATATTTATAAAAACGATTTTAAGCCACTGAGCTTGGGGCTGATTTGTTATGGAGCAGTATTAACTAATACACTCCATCAAGAAAACATATGTGATGCCATACTATGCAACTGTTATAAATAATGATATGATCTGTATTCACTGACATGGAAATATGTCTATTCAATATTGTTAAGTGAAAGAAATTAGATTTCAGAACAATACTTACACAAAGATATAAGGAAGTGGTTATTTCTGGGGGGTGGGGTCAGGAAATTTCCTTTCTTTGCTCTGTAGTTTTGTGTATTGTTTGATTTCATTTTTCAAAGAGCATCCATCTTTTTTATAATTAGAAGTATGAAAATGCTTATGATATGTACTGAGAGGATTCCAGGAAGACACATCTTGGTAGAATAAAGAGAAAGGCAGGCCCTAACTGGTTTGGCTCAGTGGCTAAAGCATCGGCCTGCGGACTGAAGGGTCCCAGGTTTGATTCCAGTCAAGGGCATACCTTGGGTGTGGGCACATCCCCAGTAGGGGGTGTGAAGGAGGCAGCTGATCGATGTTTCTAACTCTCTATCCTTCTCCCTTTCTCTCTGTAAAAAATCAATAAAATGTATTTAAAAAAAATTTTTTTAAATGTAGTTCTGTGGCTTTCAAACATTCAAAAAAGAAAGAGAGAGAGAAAGGCAGTTAGAGAGTAAAAGAGGAGCCCAGTTTACATGCAGCCTTGACAAGAAGATAGAGTTCAGATTTTGATATATAAAGAACTAGAAATAGAAATAATAATAGTTAACAATGATTATAGCTTACTCTGAGTACGCTAGTAAGTGAACTATCTGGTTTAGTTCTCTTAGCACCTCTATGAGGTCATAATTTTACCTTTCCTTATTTTACAGAGAAAGAAACTGAGGTTCAGAGAGTGTAAATAATTGGCTGTGGATCACACAGCTTGGATTTGAACCCAGGTCTGTCGTCAGAGCCCATCTTCTTCTCAGTTCAGAGCCTTATTCTCACTGCATGGTTTTCAGCAGAAGGAGGGACGTGGATGAGGGACAAAGAGGCACCAGGTATGGAACCCCAATATGGGAGCTCTTACAGATAAAGGATAGATGGAGGATGTTATCACAGAGGAGAGGTCACAGAATCTGAGGTCATATTCTACATCTGCACCTAGGAGCTGAGTAATCATGTACCAGTTACTTAGACTCCTCTAGCCCTGGATTTATAATATAAAATAAGTAATAAATATTTTCCTCATAGTCATGGGAATCATTTCAGTGCCTGGCACACAAGCTGCCATTAAATTGTTTGCTACTATTTTAATATGGTTTTGTAAAAGCACCTTGAAAACAGTAAAATTCCAATCAAACACTATAGTTGTAACCTACAATTTTAGTGAGCACCATATTTAAATAAAATTGATGGGGTGGGCTGAGGTTGGAGTTGACTGAGAGATAAGAGGCCCCTGATGAGAGCTTGGCTAAGGGCTGGCAGGGGAATGCCCATGGGCAGGGAAGACATTCTAGTGGGAGGATCCACAGGACTAGGCAAATGGCTGGTACCTGGAGATGAATGAATATGACAGATTTAAAAAAATCACCAAGGTTTCAAATCTGGAAAAATAGTGATAATTTTGATGACGAAAGCTTCATTATTATTAAATTGTGGGACATGTGTTGAAAAGTCAGGGAGAAACTCTCTAGGAAAGATTTGTTTTTCATTCATTCATTTACCACTATTTATTGAGTGCCTGCTATGTGCCTGGCACTGTAGTATATATACTGAAGTAGATGATGTTTTTTGGGGGGGGGGGGGGGGGGAGAGACAATTCATAATCAAATAATCACAAAGTAAGTGTAAAATACACCTGTAATGCAGAAGGAAGAGACACGTGGGGTTATGTAAGCATAGAATCAGAAAATGTTTCCTGAGAAAATGATGATTCAGCTGACATCTGAGGGATGAATAGAAACTTAGAGTTTAATTCAGGTTGTTACTTTGTAGATTCCTAGACCAGCTCTCCCAGAGGCAGCTTGTATTTAGCCATGTCAATCAGAGGTTCTCCAACTTGAGTGTGCACCTGAGTCATCTGGAGGGCTTGTTAATGCATTGGCTGCTGGGACTTATCTGCAGTTTCTGATGGCAGGTCTGGGGTGGGGCCCAACAATGTGCATTCTAACAAGTCCTCGGTGATGCTGCTGCTGCTTACCTGGGAGTCACACTTTGAGAACCACTGCTCTAAATTAACCCCATGCTACCTCTTGCCAACTAGTTGAACTGAACACAAGCAACTTTTAACAAATGTTTTCCAGGTTGCTCACCACAAAAAAAAATCAATTTCCAAAGTTTTTGAAATGTTTTTACACCAGGTTGAATGTTAACATTACATGTTCAACCTTTCTCTTTATTGAAAAAAATATAAAAATAAATACCACTGTAATCATAGAATCGCCCTGCAGTTAGCTCTGGCTGAATAAATGTCAAAGCACTATGAACAACTCTAATGGGATCTTTGAAAGCAGAAGATGAATGCCTGGCCTCTAAGACTGCGGGGGGACACAGGATCATTTCAGGGCAGAACCAGGCAAGGCACGTGCTGGGGGATGGGTGAGAGCAGGGACTGGTTTGGGATGAACCTGTAATTTATGGCATAGGAAATCTATTCCTTAGAAGTTGGGAAAAGGGGAACCTGCCAGCAATCAACCACTGATATTTTTTAATACTGTAAAAAACTAATCTTTAAGATTACATAGTAATGGCATGAATAAATTGTCCTTTTTAAAAATATATGTTTATTGACTTCAAAGAGGAAGGGAGAGGAGAGAGAGATAGAAACATCAATGATGAGAGAGAATCATTGATCTGCTGCCTCCTACATGACACCTACTGGGGATTGAGCCCAAAACCTGGTCATGTGCCCTGACCAAGAATCAAACCATGACCTCCTGGTTCATAGGTCGATGCTCAACCACTGAGCAACACCAGCCGAGCTAGATTGTCCTTCTAAAGATACCTAACCAGTATAGATAAGGCCTCCCAACACTAATTCTTCTCTTCCTTTCCCTAGAACTAATTCATGTTGTCAATTTGGCATTTGTTTCCAGACACTCTTTTATGCAGTTTCTATGGGAACAATTGATTATTGTTTCCTCTGATAGTATCATATTCTGTATTGTTCCACAACTTACTTTTTTTTCACTCATTGGTATATCCTATGGACTTTTCCATGTTAGTACATAACTCCACTACACTCTTCTTAATTTTTTTTGCATATTATTACGTAACAGAACTAATGAGGTTCATGTAGACAGGCATTTAAGCCGCTTCCTCTCCTCCTGTTTTGTTTCCCAGTGATGACAAGCAGTGCTGAAGGAAACATTCTCATATGTGCCTTCCCCAAGGCAGGTATGGGTGCTTCTCTAAGGGACATACTGAGGAAGAGAACTGCTGACTCCCAGTATTTGAATGTTTTACATTTTACCAGATATTGTCAAATTGCCCTCCTACTCCCACCAACAGAGTCACTGCTTCCTTACATGTGTGCCAATCATTGGTAATACTGAATATTTATGTATTACAATCCAGTGGATGAAAAACAGCATTTCATTCGTGTTATAGTTTTCATTTCCCTTGTTACTAGTACATTTGAGTGTGTTCTCATATTTCTGTGCTGCATTGAATTTTCTTAGCTGTTAATTGCCTACTCTTGACCTGCTCATCTTTCTTCTGGGTTAACTTTTTCATATTGATTTGAGGAATTCCTTATGTAGTCTAAGCCAGTGGTCGGCAAACTCATTAGTTAACAGAGCCAAATATCAACAGTACAACGATTGAAATTTCTTTTGAGAGCCATATTTTTTAAACTTAAACTATATAGGTAGGTACATTGTTATTAACTTAATTAGGGTACTCCTAAGGCTTAGGTAGAGCCACACTCAAGGGGCCAAAGAGCCGCATGTGGCTCGAGAGCCGCAGTTTGCCGACCCCGGGTCTAAGCAGATGTCTTTTGTCTCTGAGTGTTTTACAAATACTTTTCCCCAGGTGTTTTTATTTTAATGTTATTTATGGTATCTTTTAGGATAGAGAAATTTTTAATTGGAAATAGTCCAATATATCAATCTTTTTTTTTCCCCCTAAGGATTTTGCTTCCTGTATCTTGCCTACGGGGGCCTTTATCTCTGTCTTCAATTATTTTGGGTCCACTAATGTGAATTATCTTTCATATCAATAAGTCGAAGACACAGAAGTTATCTTACAGCTGCTGTAATCTGATCATTTCACTTTACAGAGGAGGAAACTGAGGCACAGCAGAGAATCTGATGTGTAACACTAACACAACTTCCCCACCCTCAGCTGAGTGGCTGAGTCAGACTGTGAGCCCAGGTTTTCAGATTCCAAGGAAGATGAGTCAAAATCTTTCCCTGATGTAGCCACCATGACTTTAAAAAACTAATACAGGGAGGCGTGTGATTAAGAGAAAGGTCAATTACCGTTGGCACTGGGGACCAGAAAGTCAAAAGGCTTGGGGGACATGCCTGCCTCTCCCCACAGCCAGGCTGCCTGTCACTCCCTCGTGGGGAGGCGGTGTGGCTCCACTATGTACACCTTGAGGAAGTGCTGTGTTGCCTCAGTTTCCTGACTGGAACAATGGAGATAAATAACACATACTGCAAAGGGGTACTGTGAGGTTAAGTGAAATGATTTATCTGTAAGGACTTAGTACATAATTTAGATCCAAAAAAGATTAGCTATTATTTACTAACTAGAGGCCCGGTGCATGAAATTTGTGCACTGTGGGGGGGGGGGGGGTTCCCTCAGCCCAGCCTTCACCCTCTTGCAGTCTGGGACCCCTCGCTCCTTACTGCCCACCGGCTCACTGCTCCTTAGTGCTGCCACAGAGGCAGGAGAGGCTACCGCCACTGCGCTTACCAGCTATGAGCCCAGCTTCTGGCTGAGTGGCACTCCCCCTGTGGGAGTGTATTGACTACCAGGGGGCAGGTCCTGCATTAAGCGTCTGCCCCCTAGTGGCCAGTGTGCATCATAGCGACCGGTCGTTCTGCCTGTTGTTCCACCATTTTGTCAATTTGCATATTAGGGTTTTATTATATAGGGTAGCAATAACAACATAATTCCGTTGTTCTTCGTGCTGACACTCCCATTAGTCTGGCTAAATCTTGAAAACAGACTGTCTTGCTTTGAAATTCCCAGTTTATAGTCTGGCACTTCTAGGCACTCAGAGTGTTTGTCAGGTGAATGAATGAGGTAACAGATAGCTCAGATGCAGACCAGCTCAGCAAGGCTGGGTAACATGGAGGCCCCTAAATGCATACTTATTGGTTATTTGTCCCTTCTCAAGGCTGTACGCTCAGGGGAATAAAGACTCCTTGTTACAGCTGTATCCTCACACCTAGAAGAGTGCTCAGCAGTCAGCATCAAAGACCCCTATTCATTTACCCTAAGGGTTTCTTCAGCAGGTATTACAGAACACCTCCTAGGGAGATGGTATAAACAAAGTACTCCCAGACCCAGGCTTCAAAAACTCCCTGGTGGTGGGAGGTCTTTTAAATTAAAATCCCACACAAACAGAAGCCCATTTGGCTACAAACCAACCTGTGCTGTGCAGAGAAGCACAGAGTGGTACATCAGAGCCTATCAGGGGCATGTCCAGCAAGGACATGACAGAGAAAATGACAAAGAAGCCAAGAGCCAGGTGATTTGGAGGCTCCAGCCAAGTGAAGGGGGCTAGGGAAGAGGGCAGACAAGGCAGGGGCAGTAGCCTATGGAAAGACCCTGAGGAGGGGATGTCCAGCACATGAGTGGAAATGAAGTCTGTGAGAGTGATAGGACAAGTGATTGAGAGGAGGGGCACAGGGGGAAGTACAGAGGAGGCAGGGCTAGGTCACACAGGATCTCTAGCTTTCAAACCAAGACTTGAGGTCTCAAGGTGAGCATGGAGACTGAGTCCCATCAAGAACACGTCATAGCCCCTCCAAGATCTTCTTTCTTGCCAACTAAAATGTACCTCCCATCCAGTCACTACTTCCTCAAAACTTTCCATCCACTTGGTTCCCAAATAATCTTGAGACCCAGAAGAAAGGTTCTCCACGCCAGCACTTTTTAAAGAAAGAAATTGCATTTATTATTATTATTATTTAATATATTTTTATTGATTTCAGAGCGGAAAGGAGAGGGAGAGAGAGATAGAAAGATCAATGATGAGAGTGAATCATTTATTGGCTGCCTCCTGCACGCCCCCCACTGGGGATTGACCCCGCAACCCGGGGAATCAAACCCAGGATCCTTTGAATCCACAGGCTGACACTCTATCCATTGAGCCAAACCAGCTAGGGTGAAACTACATTTATTGAATTCCTATTATACGCCAACGCATGCCCTGAGCCTTTTACCCATCTTATCTTATTTACTGCCCAACAACCTGTGAGATAAATAGTATTACCTTCTTTTGAATAGGAAAATAGAGACTCAGAGAGCACAAGTAACTTACCCAAAGTCACACAGCTATCAAATAGTAGAGCCAGGTCTCTGAGTGCAAAGTCCTGATCATTTACTCCATATTGTTCAGACCCTGGGGCCCGTGTGGTCTGTTTCACTTGGCCTTGTTAGTGTCTCAGGAAGCCACTTTCCTGTGCAGTGAGATACAGTTTCAGGCAGCAGGGAGTTGAAAATTACAGAAAGCTCTCTTCAACCCAGTGTAGAGTTCATTAAGCTCCAGGGGGCACTTAATATCTTCAGCATTTTAAAGCAGCTCTAGGCTCCATGAGTAAAGGAAAGAACTTATACCCACCCCCTAAAAGGTGAATGAAAGTCTTTGCTAACTAAATACTGCAGAGAAGCAGCTTCCCCATTTGGCTGCAATTACCTTGGTCCCCAGTTACATCATTGCTAGTGAAATGATTAACAAAATAATGGTAATGATGCTGATGGTAAATTAAATGGAAATAAAAGGAGCTCAGTGTACTGTTCAATTTCCCACTTGGGGACCACTCCTAAGTTGTGTTCTTCAGCTTCCCACTGGGAATTTCCACATGTAAATAAATACGCCTGATTGGAAAGGCAAACTTAGACCTCTGTCAGTGGCTAACACTGAAATCCAAGGCTGGGATTGCTTCTCTCCCATCCAGGGAGAGTTCCCAAGGCTGATGTCAGTGAAGATGGATTTCCCCCCTCGAAATGTTCCAATGCATTATGTAAATAGAGACAAACACCTTATAGGACTGACCTCTGCCACAGAATTTGACATCCTCCTGCCCTAGCCAAACCAAGTGGAAAATTGGATGTAAGAAAAAGAATCAGGACTTCATGGCAACCCAGATGCTTTGTGGTGGCTGGGTTCTCTCCACTGCAAATCAACCTAGCCCCACCAAGAGAAATTACCAACAGATGTGACAAGCAATGGGCATGACAGTTGGAATCTAGTTCATGTCACCAGCAGGTTCCTCTCTTGTCAGAGGCCCTTTATTAGGGTTTTAGTCATAATCATTAGTTTTTTCTAATAGGGAAACCTTACAAGAAGAGTGACAGCCTGGGTTTAAAATTCGGCTCTGCCTCTTATTGTTAACAGTGTTATTTTGAACACATTACTTTAAAAGCTTTCCGAGCACCATTTTCCTCATCTTTAAAATAAGTGTAATAATAATGCTTGCTTATTATATTATTCTATTTTTACAAAATCTTCAGAGAGAATATATATTAGTAGTTGTCTAAGGCTGGAGAGGAAGTGTTGGAGGGGGAATGGGAAATGATTGCTCATGGGTACAGGTGTTTTTTTTTGTGGGAGGTGATGAAAATGATTTAAAATTATAGTGATGATTGGTCAACTCTGTAAATATATGAAAAACGTTTGAATTGTACACTTAAAAAGTTAAATCATCTGGACAAGATGATATATTTGGATCTTGCCCAATTTAACGTTTTATGGAATAGAAGCACATCCTGAAATGGAGCATGTCCCTACAGAAAAATGCCCATGTTCATGTTAGTGCACAACAGAGGGAGAGGAGCTGGGTAACCTAGCCTGTAGGCAGTGACAAAATCCCACTACCCTACTATAAAAATTAGCTAATTCACAAGTCAGCTACCATATATGAAAATTGGTGGTCAAGCACTTAACTACCAATGTTGGATGAGATACTATCATATGCCTGGTCCTGTTCTAAGCACTTTTCATGGCTTTCATCTAATAACAGCATTATGAGTCTTCAGATGAAAAACTCAGATGAGAAGCTGAGGATCGGAGGATTACAAAGACAGGAAGTTGAGGGATCAGATGCAAATGCAGACACAACTGGACTCCAAGTGAAGCATCCATCTTATATAAAAACTGCTGTTTGAAATTTTAACCCTGCATTTTGGCTTCTGTAATGCTTGCTGGCTTAAATAATAAGGAAAATAAGACTACTCCCATTTCAGAGAGGCCATTAAACCTTCTCCAGACGAAGTTATCAGTGCTGGTGTCAGGCCAAGCCTTTGTTCGAGGTCTCAAAGCCCCAGCACATAGGGGCTCTTTAAGAACTTGCAAAGGGAACCGGAAAAACCCCATATTTGGGAGACAAAGAAGGTAAAATGGTATAAATATAGGAAACTTCCTGTGTGATTTTGCCCAGAATTTGAGAGACATTTTCCTCTGGGCCCGCGCGTAATAATAATAAATGTAACTCCATCTCTCTAAGCGTTGCTTGGTTCTTCTCCGGTTTTTCTGTAACACAAGGCCTGTGGTCCTTACCTCTTTCTGTCCTGCCTAACTTTCTCCATTCTTTATTGCTTTCTCTATAATCTATCTGTGTGCAAGGAAAGTGCTTAATCAGCCATGAGCATGTAACTGAGTATTTTTTCTTGCTCTAGTTCAATAACCCATGTATCATTTCTTGCTCTAGTTCTTGAAAGCAGGGAGTATGATCATGTCTTTTTTTAAGCCCCGAGTTCAGTTTCCTTGATGCCCAGACAGGTACTGCGATTTGCCTGCAAGATACACACTCCTGGCTCCCAAGGGCTAGATGTGCACCTCTTATCTAAACCAGGATAACCATTCTTTTTTCTTTTTCTTTTGTAAATATCTGCAATCCAGCCACTACCCAAATTTGCTACAGAAGCCCTAAAGAAGCCAGATTTCAAAGTGCCTGCTGTTTGTTTTTCTCTCACCTCCAGTCATAAGGCGTTGTTTGCTACACAGTAATTTTTCCACAGCCAGTGATTCCTCTGTCATAAACACGAGAAAATGACTCCGGCAATGTAGTGAGCAGTTGGGAGACAACAAATTGTGCAGGCCCGGCCTTTACAGCAGACTGCCCTGGCCACAGAGCCTGCGCTGCATGAGTGCTCACCTCTCCACAGCCCTCCCCTTCCTGCAACACTGGAGGCCCAGCCCAATGCTACTATCAGGCCAGCCCTATGCTACTATCAGGCGGCAGCTCAGGCCGAAGCCCAAGCCCCACGGAGGCTGCACGGAAAGGCCCTAGTGTCTGCTTCTGGCGTGCTTACAACTGAGAAACCTCAGGCCAGCTTTGGAGCTTACCATAGACGTAAGGTGTAAGGAAGGGTGGTGCCTAGCACTGGACAAGTACTGCCAAGCTCCATTTGGGCACCTGGGCCTCCACCATGTGGGCAGCCCAACAGGCAAGGCCAGGCTTCGGTCCTGCCCATGTCCCAGCCTGCTTCCTGCTCCCTGGTGAGGCCACAGTGCTGGTGTGTTCTAGGAGCGCTTCCCAGTCTCCGTGACTCAAGGGACCCCCATGGGACACCACAGGCTCCTTTGGAATGACGCTTCCTTTACAGATAAGCACTTGCATGAATATATTGCCAAGGTCTGGGTTTGTGTTTTTAAAAACTTCAAAATCTAAAAACCAGAGTTATATGATGACCTCACCTGAGGTGACAAAACAACACTGACTCCTGCCCCTTCCACATGCCCCCTTCCAGTGAGGAGTGACCCCCCTGGGGTGCTGAGCCCAACCTTGGGATTCTCTGCCCACACCAAACTTACAGGTGATCCAGAGGAGGTCCCAGGACCATGTATGGGTCTCCTTTCTGCATGGCTTAATCTCCCAGAGTTAAATTTGCTGCTCTAGTGGTATGGGAGCCCAGGAGAGCTGAGAGCTTGACCAGGTGCAGAGCCAGAACAAGGGGTGAATCAACTACCTCCAGTCCCTGCAAGGAGGGGGCAAAAAAGCACAGAATGGGATGGAAGTCACTGTGTTTCCCAGGACTCCATGGAAGTCAAGTACCACAGACATGCTTTGATAAACCACTTGAAGTGGATGGAGGTGGTGAGACCTCCCCAACACTTCTGCCTGAGTAACAGCAGGTAAGTGCTGCCTTCTCACTAATGTGGGAAAGTCGACCACATTAATTAGGGGGTGGGGGCAGGACAGGGAAGCATGGACCAGAGCTGCTTGAGCAGGAAGGAAGGAAACTGAGTTCTGTCCTCTGTGCTCTCAGACTCAGCCTTCCACCCCGAAACACAGACACCTGCCCCCCCCCCCCACCC